CCACACAGTGGACAGATACACCAGTTCCTTGCCGCGATCCCCGTATGAGCAAACGATTATGCGAAGGGAACAAATCGCCAATCTACCTCAAATGATGGGCAACTTTCATGTCCTTAAGCTTTACCTTCTGGGCTGATTTGCAGTTACGCTTGCTTGTGAGAGACCTAGACCAACGGCTATTGAGTTTGAACATTTCATATTTTTTTCTCTGGCGTGGGACGCAGGATTGAATCATGCATCCGGTAGGACAGAGACGGTGCGGTAGGTAACTAACTACTAGATGGGATATATATTAGAACATTCAAAAGGACGGACGGAAACACATATGCATGGACGGTTTTGGGGAGTGACACCATTCCAATCATATTCCACCTATTTTACATATATGCCATGTCACCTGGTATGAGTATGGATTTCCTGGTAATATCCATGATTCCAATGGTGTATTTTGTTTCCACCCAGTGGCCGGGTATCTGGAGATATTTAGATCGAAGCAAGGGGTCAGAGAAAAATCAACAATAATACTTGCGCTCCGATTCTGTTTACTAGTATAATGCAAAAAAGACTGTATGCTGCTCTCTGCTCTGACGGGAGTCACATCTGATGTTCTTTATTTTATTTTATTTTTTATTATTTATTTATCTTATCTTACTTTTTTTTTTAGTTGTTCAATCCACTTAGGATGCAAAGCCACAATCCGCATCTGACAGCAGAAGGGCATCAGCCACAGATCCTAACATGAACCAACCAACCATCTTCCAACAACAAAACATCACCGCACAATAGAACACGAAAGAAACGAACCATTTCAATTTCATGGGACTGGCCTATCTGCAGCTGCTATAATTTCCCCCCTGTCCTCTCGTAGATTAACATATCCCTCCCACTGAAATGGACCTTGGCTCCCTAACAATATATTCCTGCATCCCCACACCCGCCCCGTTGCCCCGCACTACTAGCGGTAAAGCTAACATAACCTTCCACCCATTGAACAAAAACAAGGGGTGGAACTGTTCAAAAACCTCCCAAAACCCCCTACAACCTTCCTACCCGCTTCTCCGCTCCACGGTGGGACCACATCCCCGTCTCTCTCTTTCCGCCAACTGTTGACTCCATATCCAAAGTACCCCGTCTCCCCCCGCCGCACACTAAAGAGGAGGAAAAAGTAACTGGGGTACATGCATATAAAACCCAGCACGTAACCCAACACGCCAAAACCAAGTCCTCAGGAGAAAACCAAAAAGGGGAAATACGAAAAAAAAATCACATATATTTATATATATATATATATATATATATATAAAAGAAGAGGGCGAGAGAATCAAAAGAAGCAAGAAAATAATGTCTTACCGCCCCCTCGCCAAAACAGCGGTCTCCGCGCCAGGGAAAGTCCTGTTAACAGGCGGCTATCTCGTGCTTGACAGACAGTACACGGGGACTGTGTTTGCGCTCAACGCGCGAATTCATGTTGTCGTGCGCCAGCTGCGGAGGAATCTGCGGAGGGGAGGCAGCGCCTTTGGTGGTTTTGGGCTGGGGAGGATGGAGTTCGAGGGGGATGGGGAGACGGATGCGGGGCATGAGGGGGTCGAGGAAGGAGGGGACGAGGTTATCGTCGTCAGATCGCCCCAGTTTATTGATGCGGTGTGGGAGTATGGGGTTAAGAGGGAGGGGGAGGGGGGTGGGGTGAGGGTTGTGCAGAAAGGGGATGGGTGAGTTGTTTTCTTGAATTTTTTTTTTTGTTCTTCTCTTGGGGATTTCGTTTTGGGGGTGGCCCCCGGGGAAGGGGGATGGGGGATGGGGGATGGGGGATGGGGGATGGGGCGTTGGATCCTATGGTTTTCCTTGTATGGTTTGCGTTGATTCGTTATTCTGGTTGCATGTTTGATTGCACGAATACTCTTTGGAGAAAGGGCACAGGAAGAACCCTGGAACTTCATATCCGGGCCCTGTTTGATTATTATCTACGAAGCATTTGATCTTGCAAGCTATACTGGGAACAGTCTACTAATACTATCTCGCAGACCGCGAAATCCATACATCGAAACATCAATAAACTACGCCCTGACATATGTTAGTTACATCGCAGCATCCAACCTGTTCGGCTCTCTCTCCATCACCATTCTCGCAGACAACGACTACTACTCCAAATCCTCCGTCTCACAAACTCCAGTCCACAACGGAGGAACCCGCTTCTCAGACTTCGGCGTCAAACTCCACGAGGCACACAAGACCGGTCTAGGCTCCTCGGCCGCACTCGTCACAGCCCTCGTTTCCGCAATCGTCATCCACCGCTCTTTTCAGCCAGAAGAACTCCCAGCCGTCCGCGACAAACTCCATAATCTCGCGCAGGCAGCCCATTGCGCCGCGCAGGGGAAAATCGGCTCCGGCTTCGACGTCGGCGCCGCAGTTTACGGATCCTGTCTGTACCGCCGCTTCTCACCAGCGGTGCTCGACAGTTTAGGCGACGTCGGGTCCCCGCAGTTCGAAGATCGGTTGTTCGCTGTTGTCGAGGATCTCAATGATGATGTGCCCTGGGACACTGAGTGTATCGACTTTGGCATCAGGTTGCCGCGCGGGATGCAGATTGTGCTTTGCGATGTGGACTGTGGCTCGCAGACGCCGGGGATGGTGAAGAAGGTGCTTCAGTGGCGGGAGGAGAATCGGGAAGAGGCAGATGCTCTCTGGGATGAGTTGCAGACGAACAATGAGAAGTTGCGGCTGTTGTTGAAGGAGCTGGTTCAGGCTAGCTATAGTTCCAACAATAGAAATATCAATTATGCGGAGAACGGTAACTTTGACGCAGTTGGCGTGCTCATATCCCGCACGCGCGAACTGCTTCGCACCATGACGGCGAAGTGCGGAGTTCCCATCGAGCCCAAGGTCCAGACGGAGTTGCTGGATAAGCTCTCGGAGCTGGACGGGGTGATTGGTGGTGTGGTGCCTGGTGCAGGCGGGTATGATGCCGATGCGTTGCTGATAAGGGACGATGCGGCGGTTGTGGACAGCCTTCGGGATTTCCTGTCGACGTGGAAGAGCACTGTCGAGGACGATTTTGGCGGGCGCATTGAGAGAGTGAGGCTGTTAGGGGTGACGCATGGGTCTGAGGGGCTGAGGAATGAGGTTCCGGTGAAGTATTCAGAGTGGATGTAGGGGTCTTTTTTTTTTTTTTTTTTTTTTTTTTTTTTTTTTTTTTTGTATTTTCCCTCTTTCCTTTCCCGGGAACGCTACGCTGATGTTGTCGTCGGTTTGAATGGTTTTATATGGCTCGGGTTTCGGATTATTTTCCCTTCACATAACTGCACCTGCTGCTCATTGAAGTATTTTCATCGGGTTCCCTCTCTTGGTCTTTCTTCTCGGATTTGTGGTGATATCCAGCGCTGTGTGCATAGCGAAAGTCTAGGGTTCGGGATGTTTCTTGTTCTCGGGTTGTTTATTTTCTTCTTTTCAGGTGTGTATGCTTGCTTGCAATCTTCCAGCATAGCATTTGCAAGAGTCTATGTCTTGTTAGATTAGGTTTTCCATGCCCCCTGCTCTCTGTCCTCGCCTTTTTCCACATTTACATACAATTGATACTGCTTTTTAAACTCTGGATATAAACTTTAGCGGCTCGAATTACTTTCCCCATGACGCATGAGAGCGGGTTTAACCTTGATGGTTTGGTTTGACGTTTCCCTGTCGAGCCAAGTCTATCCTTACCTAAGTAATAATAATAATTGTTAAATCAAGACAAAGATAGGAGCAACGAACTAAGAGTTTCTTTCAAATAAAGTTGGCGCAATCTGGAAAGGGAATTGGGAAATTTGGGCAAAAGCATGGTTCTACCGTCGTGCAGAAGTTACCAACTAATAATAGAAATGTTAGTCATGTACAAGTATGCTAAGTCGGGTTGTAACTGGGGGGAATGTCAAATTTACCAGGTCATACATGCCTTGCATTAGGGGGAGTATGACAAACTCCAGGTTGGGGGGAACATTGGCGCTGATCGACAGATTCCTTTTTTTTTTTTTTCCATTTTTATTCCATTTTATTTTCATCTTCTCTTTGCTGGGAAGAAATCTCTTCTTCCTGAGTAACTATTAAGCTGTGTGAAGCTTGGCTTATTAATTAGCGGCTGGACTCCGGGGGGGGGGGGGGATCTGACCCTTTATGTTTTAGTTAAAAGGGGGGTCCCGGGTCCCTGATGCCCACCCAAATTTAGCTGTAGCTTTAACTGGACTGAGCCACCTGAGCAAGCCCCGTCTGCTTCTTTCCCCCCCCCCCCACCCCCTTCACACCAACCAATTTCCTGTGTTGAAGCTCAGCCTTCGCTTGCCGCTCGCTGTTCGCGGTTACTCAAGTTAACTTCAGTGTTCCTTACCCTCTCCAACCAACATCAACATCATCATCAACATCATCATCATCATCATCATCATCATCATCATCATCATCATCATCATCATCATCATCATAATCATCACCGTCGTCGTCGTCATCGTCATCACATCATCATCATCATCATCATCATTACCATCAACCACTCACTCCGTACGTTCTATACACTACAAACTCGACAAGCAAAGACACACCCCCTTAGATATACGTTAGATATTGGAGACGACATAATAACTACGCCGCAACACTGCAACCACCAGAGACAAGGGACATCGGATAGACATCGCCCCTATCTCGGTCTTCGCCTCCCGCCCGTGCTCAACGGCTGCGACATCTCCATCTTTTCCTGCATCTAGAAACCCCCTGTATGCCATGCTCCCGCCATCTTCATCCTTCACCCGGCTGCTGCTCTGAAATTATCTTTCCCGCCTACGCTCTTTTACTTACAACCACACGCTATTTTTCTCTGCCGTTGTCCATCGTTAACCTCACGCCTTGAAAATATTTCCATTCCTTGGCCTGCGTTGAACCTGGGATACACAGACTCCATATCGTCGGAATTTCATCCGTAGTAAACAAAAAGACATATCTGGCTTCGGGTATAGTTTCTGTTTAGTGGGCCCTTGATCATGGAATCAGGTACCCTTGTTGTCCCAAAGAGCGATGCTAGTCCAGAGCGAGAACGGGGAGACTTTGTGGAGAAAAGGGAATCGCCTATTTCCCAATCCAAACCAGACCAGCGCACAATATCACAGGAAGATCTCGCCTCACCGACTATGATGACAACAACATCTGCTCTTCCCCCTCCCTCCTCTTCAATACGGGTGCCAGAATCAGCCAACAAAGACAACACCAACACCACTCCGTTTGCTTCGAATGAACCCGCAGCCACTCCGGCTATGGTCTCATCGCATCGTCCTGTCACATCAGATCCCACACAGCCTTCAAAAACCCCCGGTACCAGCACGACCATAAGAGCAGATACTCCCCCCTCGATGACCAGCCAGCCTCTTGATGCCCCAACTTCAGAACACTCTATTGCATCACAACCAGATCCATCAACCAACACCGCCTCTGAACCTCAGAAACAGCAGCCCGATCCCTCCGCTCCTGCAACCAGTGGCTCTGAGGAGCCCAAACCCGCTGATCCCGCAATTGGCCCCTCCACAGACCTCACCACCACGAACAAAGAAGCAGAAGATGTCGGCAAATCATTGGTAATCAATCTACTCCTGACGACAGGAGCTAGACACCCGTTCAAGATCTCTACGAAGTACTTGCGCAAACGCCAGGTGGATGTGCCAGATTTCGACCCATATTTGATGAGTGTATATACGTTGAAGGAACTGATTTGGACGGAGTGGAGACAAGGTATGCTTCTCAGATGCTGTTTTGCCAAGGGGCTTGGTTTGTTTTTATTTGGGAGCAACATGACAGCCATGTGTTGTTCTAGTTAATTCTCGATTGTTGTTAGGATATCATGTGCTAACGCATTATGGCCTCTTTCACTACAGAGTGGGAACCTCGACCTTCATCCCCAACCTCAATTCGTCTGATATCGTTTGGAAAACTATTAGATGACAAAGGTTCGCTCTCAGGTATGCTGCCCAACTCCTTTAGTGCACCCTAATGCATTCTTTTCACTCTTGGATGCTCTGTATCTTTAGAATCCCCATATCTCCCACACCCTAATGCATTCCTTTTACTCTTGGACGCTTTGCATCTTTAGGATCCCCATATCTCCCACACCAATTTTTTTCCCAGTTCTCTCCTAAGTTCAACACATTTTGCTTACTCTCACGCGACAGAGTTGAAATTAAGCCAATCCTCCCCCAACGTCTTCCACATGACCTTAAAACCACAGGAAGTCGTCGATGAGGAAGATGCTAAGGCCGCCAGGTCCGCTACCGGTCGGCAACGGGATGGCGGTGATCACAGCCCCCGATGCCGATGTATCATCTTGTAGGCTTCTGGAGGCTGTGCTCAATTCATTTGTCATGCAATGCAGAATTTTTTTTTTTTTTGGTAATGTTGGAGAAATAACAATCAGGATTGTTTAGCATTCATTTTCAAGCGGATCTGCTTATGCACAAACAAGCATACACACACACGCACACATCAAACCTTCATAAATCATACTGCACCTCCTTTGCACAATTTGTGTGTCAACGACTATATTCCCTCGGGTAATTTCCGATTGTCGTATTTCTGCTTTTCCTGAGAAGCCTTGGACGCATTTCCTTAAACCATTCGGAGTTGACTTGGGGTTTTTTTTTCCAATTCACCTATCCCTTAATTTACTTTCCTCTTCCCTTTACCCCATGCGAGTGCGCTCGCCTGCTTTGTCTCTATTAGTTCTTTCATCCTCATCGATTCGATATTTGGCATCTCCTCCTTGCTTCTGCTTTTCATTCCCCTATACAATTCCCCCTTTTGTAATTTCCAGTTCCTTGTTTCCCGCCACACAACCTTTATGGTTATAAATGGCTTCCTTTTTCTTTTCGCGCTTCTCTCGTGTTTCCCGCTTTCTAAAACATGCACGGTAGGTGTAGGGTTTGGGTTTTCTTGTCTTGTCTCGTATTGTCTTCTCCTGTCCCATTTCTCTTTCACGTTTCCCTTCTAGCATACTCACTTCTTGAAGAATCATATTTGCAATGGCGACTAAATGGGGGTTTTTCATTTTTTCTAGTTTCGAGTTTTTCCCATAGTTTCTCCCTATCGTCTATCCGTGTCCCGTTTCTGTCTCCTTCTATACACGTTGCGTTGATTTTGTTTTTCCTGTTTCATTTTGCTTTGCCCGCTTGTTGTCAATATCATAGCACTATCACTACTTCTACCACTATTATTATTACTAATGTGATTTCCTCCTGATATGTCATCGATGGTTCGAAGCAATACAGTTTCCCATCCCGTTTTCCCATTTCCATTTCTTTAATTTTTGTCCTCTTTATTCTTATCTCTCTACCTTGCTCTATTTTCAATTGCCTCGTCCTCCTCCTTTCCTACTCCCATGCGTACAAACGGTGACATTGGCAGCGAGGGGATGGTGGTTGCATGTAAATGTATATATACATACGTGGGTTCTTAATGGATATAAATGGATACAGCGGTTCATAATATATTTCTTGTATAAATCTGAGCGGGTTGTAGCGTAGATGAATACTGCAGAGCGGTGGAGTGGAGAGCTGGAAGAGGTGAGAATCTGAGAACGGCAGGAGAGAGAAAATCAGCATTCCATCTTATCACGGATGTGAGCGGTTTTCGATCATTGTTTTTGTTCCTTCAAAATTTTAAATTCCACATATACACACTCACAGTGATGACCGTGGAAGGTTGAAGCTTGGAAGTGGAAGAAGTGGATGATGGCTCCTTGCGCCATGGTTCTCCGTAGCTAAGCATGCCCCGCAACAGCTCTGACCGCCGCATACTGGAGATGCTAAAAACACTTGTAATGGCATTGGGGCCATTGACACATTATTGGAGCTCACCGGACTCTGGGCGGCGTGGGGATGGGGAAGTCGAGATAATCTTGCGCAGGTGACTGTGAGGCTCAAGGGGCTTGCGTTTGGGAAAGCGGAGATCCTTACCTCGCTGCGACAATGCAGCCTTAAATGCTATTCAGAAGATGTTCTATTGATGCGGGGTTTCTTGATGCAAGGACAGAATGCAGACAGATGGGGGCGACAAATTTAACAGAGCCTCCTTGATACTGGGTGGGCATAGGGGAAGGCAAATGCTGGTAGCATGCAGACAGGTCCTGCAGGTCCTGCAGGGGCGGGAGGTAAGGAAGTCAAGTCACCTGTCTTGCGAGGTGTCAATTGAAAGTACACCTGCAACGATGAGCTGAATTCCATAAAAGTCGTATCGATGTAAAATAAATAAATAGTAAAATCTCCCGTGGGACTATGTTATATGTATAAAAACACCACAGGAAATCTCCCACTTTCGCGATCTAAATGGAAAAGACAAGGAAGCGTAGAGAATGCGAACAGCAGCTAACTCCGGTTCGGGATTTGATTTTCTAGAAACTGGGACGTAACGTAACATAAATGTCGGATGGAAGAGAACAAGAAAAGAGAAGAGACGTAAACGGAAACAAATTCCGACCAAAGATCAGTACCGGCAACACGGTATTACCAATTCATTTTCAGTCGTTGTTCCATTTCGTCATGGAAAGTGGCCGGTTCTCGGAGGTCGTCACCTGGAGAAGCGAATACAAATAGTCAGCCACTGGCTGTATGAGAGGCGGAGATGGCAGGGGAAGACGAAAATTCGGGTGCAAGTGGAGAAGGAAAGAATCAATCAGTCGATTCCCCATTCTTGCAAGACCAATCCAACTTCGAAACGAAAAAGGCCAAAAGGGACAAAAAGAGACATACCATCAAAGACATCCTCCCACGTAACCTCCGTCTCCCTCCCGCCCAATGCCAAAATATCCGCATGAATGTTACTCTCCTTCCCCCCACCCAGCACAGCAGGCTTCCACTGTCCCTCCTGAACGATCTTCAGTTCCATCCCCCTCCTCACGGGCTCTGCAATGCCGTATACCCTCTTCAGAGTCTCCATCTTCATGGCATCGTGTGTTTGGCGCCACTGCAGCAGACGGGCTTCGAGTGGGTGTGTGGAGGTTGGTGTCCGTTGTTGCTGTAGTGTTGGTGCCGGGGTGAACGAGGCGCGGAGAGTGTCGTGGATGCCAGTGGCGGAGGGGGCGCCTTTACTTAGATGTGAGGCGGAGGCGGTGTTGGAGGTTTGAGTTGCGTTGGCGGCGGGGGGTACAATGCGGAGAGACTGTTATAAGAAATTAATAGGGGAATGGCCGGAGCGGAGGTTGGCTGGGACGGAGATGGGGATGGCCTACCATGATTGGAAGAGAAGACGGACGGTATTTTGCTGTGGGATCAAGGTGAGATAGTGAAGAGCGATAGTAAATGCTTGAGCCAAATGCAGATGGGGGAGGTGTTGAGAGTGTGGAATGGTGCTGATGGATGGAATGATGATGTTGTATGGAGAGACAACAGTCGATAAGATGCCGCTGATGTTTCCTGCAAGGCAAAAGCAGCCGCCGTCAAGCTTCCCCGGCCGCGCACAAAGACCAACTGCGCAGTCCCATATCACGTGGGACAAACTCTATCCCACCCGCTAAATTTCCACCAAAATCCTTGTTGTAAACCTTTTTTAAGGAGCGCGCATCCTTCTTCCATATCGGCATACAGCTCGCTCACCTCCAATCCCTGCCATGTCGCCCGCAACACCCTCTGCGGGCACTCTACGCCTCCTGCGGCACTTCATAGCCCGTACGGCCTCCTCCCCATTACCCCTATCCTCCTCCGCCAAACGTACCTTTTCCCTCCTCTGCCGACCGCCAACTACCGCTACACCTGCAAGCACATTCCGCAAACCCACCGACCATCTGAAAATACCCAATCCAATCTCTTTGTCACCGCAAGCCCGTCAATTCTCAACTACCCCCTGCCAGAATGCTACGCTGAACCAAGTCCGCCGGGGCTGTCGGAAGGGCAAGCGGAAGCGGAAGCCCACCTCTCCCGCACTCGTGGGCCGGCCACAGATGAGAGGCGTGTGCCTTAAGACGGGTATCACGAAGCCGAAGAAACCTAATTCCGGAGAGCGAAAGACGGCAAGAATCCGGTTGACAAATGGCGCGGTTGTGACGGGTTATATTCCCGGTGAAGGTTGGTTTTTTTTTTTTTTTTTTTTTTTTTTTTTTTTTTTTCTTTACTTTTTTTTTTATGTTATATTTGGAAGTAATTTGAGGGAGTGACGTTGATATTGCATTCGCTCTTCTATACATTTTATGAAATTTTTTGGATATGCGCGCGAATGCTAAATATCGTTTCCCTCAATTGCTAGGCCATAATATCCAACAGCACAGCGTTGTGTTGATCCGAGGCGGTCGGGCGCAGGATTGCCCGGGTGTACGATACCACCTTGTCCGAGGCGCATTGGATCTGGTGAGTTTGTCTGCCCCTATCCAAGAACTCCTGCATTTGTGTGAACTGGCAATCTTAACTGGGGTGTTTTTTTTTTTTTTTTAAAATGGAATAGTCCGGCGTCGGCAATCGAATCACCAGTCGATCAAAGTACGGGACGAAGAAGCCGAAGAGTTCGTAGTGATGTTTAAATGGATAGATAGATTTTAGGAGTGCTAAAGGGGTGGGTTCAGGTATACAGGACGGATGGACTTCTAATTTCCAATGCATCCTTCTTGTGGTTTCTTTTCACTATACGATATTATTTTCCTCTGTATCCTTTCATAGATTCTTCTACAAATCTGTAAAGTGTACGTCATTCCTACCCTGTCTTGGGCTCATGGAAATGTTTCGGTTTCACTCTCGGCATATATTGAATGGACTGTGCAAGTGCTGCCCCGCCGCTCAATTCCCCGCTCAATTCCCCAAGTAAAATCGTGAAAAAGATGGTCGTATTCGAAAAGTCCTAATAACTTCTCCCGTCCCATCATACTCTCTGTAAACGCGACTGTTTGCCCAATGCTATACAAATTTTCGGGGCAAAAAAAAATAAAATATAAAAAATAAAATATAAAAAATAAAAAATAAAAAATAAAAAATAAAAACTAAAAAAGTAAAAATGGCTCGAGTTTTTCATAAAATTCAGTGAGATTTCGATGGTGAAAAGAATGGGAAAAGAAAATATGAAAAAGATAGATCATTTGCTAGATGCCGTACAACCAGGTTACTTAATGAAAGTGGCAACGTCAATTGATGAAATATAATAAAAATAATAACGCAAGATAGAAGAAGTAGAAAATAAAATAGAGGGGATAAGGAACGGATAGAAGTATGGGGGTTTCAGGGAGTTTCAGGGTTTTGGAAGAGATAGAGGTGGGTGAAATGGGTTGATGATATATGCAGACAGACAAAAGAGGAATGAAACAGAAGAAAATAGAAGAAAAATTCCGCAAAAAAAATGAGAAAAACAAAAAAAAAAAAAAAATATCCCCTTGATGCACACATTGACCGCGTTCCATATATTTCCCATATTGCCTTCTTCTTTTTCAGTGCTGCTTTTTTGTTGACCACTTTCGTCACGATATGTAGGGCACACTGTCCACGCTGGACGTTCTGAGACAGCATGATCGACGACCTTTAAATGCCACTATTGCTACAATAGTGAGAACGAGAACGCTGGCGAGAAACCAGAGAACAACGGATAGTCAATCCTGCTCCTCCTCGTAGCCTTCGGGCTTCTTTAACTTGTTGACATCGAAGTAGCGAGATGTGCCTGGGGGAGCGGGAAGGTTAGCAGCGGTCGCAGAATAAAGTTACAACCTCGGGGGTAATATCCATGCTTAGGTATGTCAAACTTACAAGAATGTCCCTTCCAGTCAAAGTTGTCTTTGGGATTGCAGTGGCATTTCAGATCTAGTCTTTTCTGCTCTCCCGTTGGGCAGTGGACGAATGGAACGTGGCGGTAGGCAATTTCATTGAAGAAGTGTACTTCCTCCTTTTTCAGCATGAGAGCCGCAGCGATGGAGTGGACTGGGGCGTCGCCCCATCTTTCGTAGAAGAATCCTCCGTCCTTATCGAGAACATCGAAGTAATCGAGGTATTCTTGAGATCGTAGCCAGTTTATATCGCCGACTTCGAAATTCGACCACTGGGGATAAGTTCAAATATGACGATATTAGTAAAGGGGTGCAAGACACCGATTTGTTCAAAAGTTCAAATATCTTTGGGAGGAGAGGAAGAGAGATACGCACGAAATGGCACAGATTGTATGTTTCTCCTCCGTCCGAGCTGATGAAGTCCATATTGTTGTCCTCGGCAATGTGTTGAGGGTACTTTGCCATGAACTTCTTAACACTGTCCCAGAGCGTGGGTACGGTTTCCTTGTATTCGTAGAGACTAAGAACGAAGCTGTATTTCTTCTTGTTGTCTTTCATAAACTTGAAGGGGTCGAAGTTGATGTCGCAGAAAAACTCAACGTTGGGCTCCACACGCCAGTAGTAGTCAAATTGATCGAGGAGCTCATGGCGGAAAAAGAAACCAGATTCATATCGACACATATGCCTGTAACTAATGGAATCTCCATAGATGACTTGTTTCTTCTTCATATCTTCTCGAACTTTAGCGGCCCTTTCTTGGTCAATGAAGTCCGGGAACGACCAGTGCTCGGACGGAATGTGTCCGTAATGGGTTTTCCCGGATACGAGCGCGGAAGTAACCTTCTTAAATTCATCGTTAAAAAGTTGATCATTGATAAAGACCCAGTCATAGTGATAATTTCTGTTGAAGCGGTCCTCCACCTGACGGATCGATTTGGAGATATCCCAGATATCCTCATTTCTAGCTAGGGTCACAAAGGTAGCGTTTACTCGTTCATAGGCGGGATGTTGCGCAGGAGCAGAGAGAGCTAGAGCCGAGGCCAATAAAACTGTTAGGATTTCACTAGACTTCTCTGAAAATAGTGATTGAGACAGAGAACTAAAGCCAGGTTTAATCGTTCCTGTCTTGATGTTCGATACGACATTGTCGGCGATAGGAAGAGGTAACGAGGAGGAGGATATAAAATGTAGTATCACAAGGCCCTTTACACCGTTTGAAACAACGTTGGAACTGCTATCAGGGTCGTTGCTTATCATAAAAAGGATAGGGTTGATATCAGACTCACCAAAACCACAAATAGAATGTACCGTAGGTACTTCCCAGAAACCGAATTCATAGTGATATAGAAGCCCAGGAATCGAAATCCGGTTCACTCAAGCAAGGGTGTTTGTTTCGTTTATTGTTCGACTCGCTCTCTCTCTCTCTCTCTCTCTCCCTGGTGTTAAAAGGAGGAATAAACCGATCAACCCTCAAAATGAGATATTTGGCAGGGAAGATCTGAAACACTCAGGTCGCACAATCTCAGGACAAAGAGTAGAGTTCAAAAGAGCGACGAGAATTTGAAGAAGTCGAGAGATCAACTTCTAGCCGACCCTTGAGGTGTCGACAGATGGTGGGGTCAAATCAAGTGAAGTTAATATTTATTAGTGAAAGAAGAAAATAGCGATAGTAGATAGGTATCAACTGTGGATGGCGCATCTCATCAAGTTAAGCCGGAAAGGGCAGAATAGTGAAAGGATTCTTGCAAGATTCAAAGAGCAGAGAAATGTCACACGGTTTAGATGTATGAACTATATTTGCTATACCTCAAAAGGAGAGCCGGACTCGGATGCACAAAGCTTCGGTTCCTTGGTTGCTTGAACAAAGGTTTTGTGGATGAAGCCCAGACAATGCAAGATCTGACAAAATACCAGAGCCTGTGATGACAACGTAATTCGATGCAGTGGCTCCGTATCTGGGCTATTTAAGGTATCCGCTGCTGCGGCAACTCAAAGGGAGGACAAGCCCGGGGGCTGGAATGGGGGTGCCTAAGGTACAGTGTTACTCTGAGAGGGCGGACATAAAACACTACTGCTTGAGATATGAAGAATTGTCAGTCGTTGGTTGGCCGATTAACAGAATATCCACCCAAAACCCTGTCAAAACTCCCACTCTTCCTTTTTATTTATATTTTTTTTTTTTTTTTTTTTTGCGAATTTCGGAGCTAGTTGCTCTAAGATACGCCACCAAATTGAGTTATGTATGTAAATTAGCAGCAGAAAGTCATACAAGAATGGGGGCGTTAGTAAAGGGGCAACTTGTAATTTATAAATAAGCCGCAAAAATCTGCAGAGAATGAAGAATAAAACAGGAAGAACAAGATTAGCTTACTAAGCCAATGAGATTTTACGCTCTGCAACGTTTGATATTGTAGGGCTGCCTTCAAAACACATCAACAAATGACAGCTACGTGGAATATCACACCGATTTAATATAGGATATCCCGTCAAGACGTCAGAAACTGAATCTCTCAAATAGAGATGTGAGTTCATATTGTCTGGATCAAAACCTTCTACTCACAATCAATTCACTCACCCTTATAAGACCCACTCAACACAAACGCTCTTGATAAATCAAAAACATTGAATAAACACTCACAAGATGGCAGAAGTTGCTAAAAATGAATTCATGAATGATTCAGATAACTGATATAGAGATGTCAAGACTATGAAGTATATGCAGAGCTATAGATGTTATATTAATCTCAATACTGATGAGATTTAATCTATGTAGAAATTTAAATCTTTTATATTAAGACAAAATTTTAATACTCAGATAAATTAGACAAAATTTTAAATTAAATAATATTTATAAGAAATTATATATAAAAATTATATAGAATAGATATTTAAATTTATTAATATTATTTATTATTATATTTAGATATATTATATTTATTATACTTACTGCAGATTAAAAATCATTGTTTTTTAATTTTTAATTTTAATATTTATTATATATTAATCAAACATTTAAGATTTAGTAGTTTTAATTAATATGTTTTAAATTATTAAAATTTATTTTTTAACTATATAAAAATATAATTTCTCTTTTTCTTACTTTTATCTAATGTTGATAGCTTTTAACTTTCATGTTTTTCTTTATTAATATAATCTCTAATGTAATTAAAACTTGAATATGATTACTTTAAATCATATATAAAAAGATTTAAAGATTTTTTACACTTTAATAGATGTGAATTTTATGATATAGTTGAATATTCAGATCATATATTGATAAATTACTCATGAAGCAATAGAATAAAAAAGAAATTAAAAGAAAAACATTTAATTAATCAATTAAATATGAACTTTCTGTTTAACACTAAATTAGAAAGAAAGTTTTTAATTGAATTTATAGAGAAAATAAAAAATATCTCTAAAAAATAAACTTTAATCTCAAATAAATTTGATATTTAATTTATAAAGTTGAGAATATAATTTTCAATATTACTTTCATTAAGATTTCTTTTGTATTAGTTTATTATATTTTATTTTAAATTATGTTGATTTGTTTTATTTTATACTATATTGAGTTATTTGTTTTGTTATATGAGAAGTTATTTGTTTTATTTAAGATGATAAAAAAACTGAATTAAAATTAAAAATTATAAATATGTTTTTTGTTAAAAAATTGTTAAATACTATATTATTCTGAGATGAAACTTTGTAACTGCATGATTTTAGTGTTATCTATTAGTTAAATTAGTAAAATAGTTAAATTCTA